ATATATATATATATATATATATATATATATATATATATATATATATATATATATATATATATATATATATATATATATAATCTTCGAGTGGTGAACACAATATTTTACAAGCGAGCGCAGCGAGTGTGTAAAATATGGTTTTTTAACACGAGAAGATAAAAGTCATCTTCAAGCCACTGTGTAATGTTCTGTTTACTATATAGTAGGCCTACCAAGCAAAAAATTGTGAAATTTTACGCTCAAAAGCAAATTGTGTTTATTACGGCCATGCATGTATGATAGTAACTGCATACACAAACACATTTATATGAAAGATGCGTCATACGTCAGGTAATTATTGAAAAATAATTATGAAAAATGTTTTCAACATTCAACAAGCAAAAGTTTTAATAAACACTGTCAAAACATTTCGCCGTTCTTTTTTAGGACACTTAATGTGGCTCCCTACAGTTATTCGTGTTTAAGTAATAATTCTGTGAAACAGGCTTATTCCTGCAGAACGCGAATTCTTTTCGACTTATTGCCTATATCGAGTATCTTAATCATTGTAATTGACAATTGATTACTAATGTTCCAACCAATGCTGAAGAAATTGAAAATGGCACTAATAGCGCAGCGTCACAGTCCAGCGCAAGCTCTCTTTTTCTAAACTTAAAGGCTTTAAAATAGGCCAGATTAATATAGCCAGTCTCGTAAAAAATTATCATGAACTTTTAGTATATATGCAAAGCAAATGCTTTGACATCCTAACTGTCAATGAAACTAGACTTGATAAAAGTGTATGTGACTATGAAGTTGAGATACCCGGCTATGATATTATTAGATTGGATCGGAATCGAAATGGTGGCGGGGTTGCAATGTTTATTCGTAAAAATATACCTTATATTATTAGGCAAGATTTAGTTCCTGACTCCATTGAGCTGCTTTGTATCGAGGTGAGAAAGCCAAAAAGTAAACCTTTATTAATTGCAACATGGTATAGACAACCTAACTCTAGCCACGATTTATTTCATAAATTTGAAAATTTCCTGAAGCTAGTTGAAGACGAAAATATGGAAATCATCATAACTGGTGATCTCAACTGTAACTTTTTTGAAATGCCAAAAAGCCAAGTCACATGCAAATTAGTTGACACAATGAATTTTTATCAATTACAGCAGCATATTAAAATACCGACGAGAGTTACCCCAATAACATCTAGTTTGATTGATGTTATCTTTACCTATATGGAGGATATTAAAACATTAGAAACAGGAGTCATACCGCTTGGGATCAGTGACCACAATCTTGTATATATATGCCGCAAGATTAGTTTCCCAAAAGAATTACCTAAAATTGTCCTATCTAGGCAGTACAAGAGATACAATGTGAACGCGTTCAATCGTGATTTGAATGAAATTTTTAATTCGTATCCGAATGCTTCAAACGATCCGAATGAACTTTGGAGTGATTTTAAAATCAAAATTCTTACTATCGCGGACAAACATGCGCCAATTAAACAAAGGCGTGTGAAAAGTGAATTTAAACCGTGGATTACTAGCGAAATTAGACGACTGAGTTATCACAGAGATTATTTAAAAAGGCAAGCCATCCGATTGCGATCTGTCTACTATGAAACGGCCTACAAAAAATGTATAAACTAATCTGATAAGAACTTCAAAAGAGAGTTACTTTAAGTCCAAATTAAATAATTCTAACAATAGCAAAGAAAGCTGGCAATCTATTAATGAGCTTCTGAATAAAAAATCCAAGACTAGTCAAATAAGGGAAACTAATTTTGAGGGCGAAACTGTAATAAACGACGAGAAAATTGCTGCCGGTTTTAATGAATATTTTTCAACTATAGGTAGTAAATTGTCCGAAGGAATTCAGGACGGTGACATGGATCCGCTAAGCTTTATGACTGTTACGCATGATGACATATTTAACTTTAACTTCTTTACTATAGATGAAGTAATTGATGCGCTAAATCTCTTTCAGTCAAAAAAATCTTCAGGACTGGATGGAATTAGTGCAAGACTGTTAAAAGACGGAACACACAATATTGCTGGGCCAATGGTTGATATTTTCAACCTGTCATTACGGACCGCTATATTTCCTGACGACTGGAAGTTAGCAAAAGTAACACCAGTCTTCAAGGACGGTAATAGGAATGACTGTGGAAATTATAGACCTATTTCTGTAATCTCCGTTGTTGCTAAGGTATTTGAGAAATTGGTATATCAACAGCTAAAATCCTTTATGACAATAAACAACGTTCTTGTGGACCAGCAGTCGGGTTTCCGTTTTCAACATTCCACGGAAACTACTCTGCTTAGTTCTACAAATGAATGGTTGTATAATGGAGTTTACTGGAGTCCTATTCTTGGATCTTAAAAAGGTATTTGATACTGTTGATCATTCAATTCTATTAGCTAAATTAGAAAAGTATGGCATCCAAGGGAGAAGCCTTGAATGGTTTAAATCGTACCTCAAGGACAGAAAGCAGGTTTGTTCAATTAATGGTAAGAAATCGTCTGCAAATGATATTAAATGTGGGGTTACACAGGGATCGAATCTTGGTCCCATCCTTTTTCTTCTTTATATTAATGATCTCCCAAATAGTTTGAAAATGTCAAAACCTTCAATGTTTGCTGACGATACAAATCTAACCTGTGTTGGACAAAGCTGGAGTGAAATTGAAACCAAACTTAATGAAGAGCTTGAGAATGTCCACCGATGGCTAACAGCAAATAAACTTACTTTAAACGATGAGAAAACCGAGTTCATGCTCATAGGCTCAAGAACACGTCTTGCCTGTGTCTATAATAGCCCAATATTGAAACTAGGACACAGACATATAAAACGTGTATACTATAAAAAGTCACTAGGTATGGTCCTCGATGAGCAGTTGAAGTGGGACAAACACAATGAAGTTCAATGCAAAAAAATTTCAAATAGCGTAGCTCTGCTAAAAAGAGCTAGACCTTTCGTTCCTAGACACACATTAATTAAAAAATATAATGCCTTTGTTTTGCCTCACTTTAATTACTGCTCTACAATATGGAACGATGGATCATGTACTATAATTAATAAACTTTCAAAATTACAAAGGAGAGCTGCGCGTGTAATTACTTCAAGTACATACGATATTCGTTCCTCTCAAATCTTGAAAGAACTTAATTGGAAACCAATTGAAGCTGACTTAAAAAATAGGGAAACTGTTATGACATTCAAAGTTTTAACCGGGCAAGGACCGGATTATTTACAGCAATTATTTACTGAGTGCAAAAACGATAATTACAGTCTGAGAAGTAATAACACCAAATTGACACTCCCAAAACCAAGGACTAATTTCTTAAAAAGAAGCTTCTCATATAGAGCGGCAAAGTCCTGGAACGAATTATCTAATGATATAACTGAAGATTTCTGTGAGCTATCAGTTAACGCTTTCAAACGGCGACTTGATAAAACCGCTTAATTGGTTGGATCATTTGATTATACATTAATTATACCTTAATTTAGTATTGTATCATAGTAAATAGGATTTCGTTTTTATTACACGGCCCTTTGAAAACCAGTACCTCTTGTAAATATAAAGTTAGTTTTTAATAGTTACTGAATAGGCTACCGTGTGTAAAGATTTTGATTAATAATAATAATATTGGTCACCTAAGAAATATTTCGAACTAGATTTCGACAACGTCAATGTTCCCATGGCAACATGACGACATCATGAAGCCTTCCAATTTAACGCGTAAATGTGCCGCTATCTCAATGATGTCGGCGAGCTATCTTTTTTATTTCATATATCAATAGGGAATGATTCTCTGCAACTGTGGTGAAAGTTTAAAAAAATTCTGTAGTGTGTAATTTTTTTAAAAGCGAAATTTTTATTGCGAAATTTCCACACTAAAGATTTTTTTAAAATTGAAATTTATAAAATTTACCGCAAAAAAATTTGTGGTCAAAATTTGAAGATAAGTCACCGATGAAGCTAATGAGTAAAATGCGAATAAAGTTAAAAAATAGCCTCGCGTAACTCGAGAAATTCCCCTATTGAAAAGCGTCGCTGACTAGCAAAAAGATTGTATGCGGGCGCAGAACGAGTTTTCATTCAGCAAAATCGAATGCAATCAGCTTGCAGAAACGATTAACTGCGTTTTCAGTAGAAGCATACGGACTCATCTTTTTAATGACTTCGTTTAACACTCTGCTGTAATTCTCTAAGGCCAGATCAAAAGGAATGTAAGTTACCCCTAAGGCCATATTTATTCCAAATTAACCTGAGGGTATATTTTACTAAAAGTAGGTTAGATATGTAAATCGTAAGAACTTCTAATATAGACTTAAAACGTTTTTGCAATCATTCTTTAAAAAGAGAAGAAACAATTTCCAATATCGGGTTACACAATCACCGTCTCCTTTAGACACAACCTCATTCCCAGGGTTTGTCCTTGGTCCGAGTATGAGGATATAGTTTAATAATACTAAAACATAACAACCACATTAGTCGGTCTAGAGATATATATTTTCTTGTAGGCGCTTATTGCCACGCCGCCCAGGCGTGCTTTCTTTGGCAAGTCTATAAGTCGAAATCTGATCCAACTTGCTTAAATTGTAACTCGACACTAGATTATAGAGTAGAAAGTCACGATATAAATATTAATTTAAGAGTTCTCTTCACGATTTCTTGTCGCAAATTTAAATTTCATCACCCAAAGTTGCAATTTTTAGAACGCGACAAACACGCTCCTCTCCCACCCTACCCACAGTATAATTTTAATTTACCTCCCAGAATCTGGGATGCACGTTACCAGCGGCAGCCAGGGTCTCTCACAAAGGACAGACCCTATGAACGAGGTTGCTTCAGACACAGCATCACAGAAATTTAAGCAGAGCATTTCATACTCTAGGAGAGCATGCTGATAACTGAACATGCCATCTCGATGTGTTGATACAATTGGTGTATGACGTAAACGTTGTGCCAGTGGATATTGTGTCGTCGTTAACAAAGCAATGAAGGCTCTTAAAATTTCTTGATACTAAATTTATAACTTAGAATATTGAGTCGTAGCTGCATTAATCGCGAATAAAATGCCATGAAGTGTAATATATTGGAAAACATCGCTCTTCTGTTTTACAACTATGACGTCATATGGCTCCCATGGGAAAGTTTTGTCTTGGGCTCCGCGGAACCTCTTGGCGGCCTTGATTCTGACAACGCATCTGTATGTACTGTACATATGCATAAAAGTTAAAAATATTAAAGCTAAAAACTTACAATTCGATTCCTACGACACCTTTATGACGCACATAATTTGTTTCAATAATACCTCTTCTCCTATAAAAGGTACAATGTTTATTTTTTTAAACTTTGTATTGAGGCTGGCTTGCGCTTTGAGATAACTGCTACATAAGCATTACAATGCGATTGTTTTGAAACCATAAAACCTTAGTATACACTCAACCAGCAACAATTACAAATCCAGCATTCTGGTTGGCTACTCAACCACGGACCATTACGTAAGGGCCCATAGTTGAGAAAAACGATGGCGGAAAACTGTTGTTTCGCAAAGGTTTTGAGGGAATTTTGCTAAAATTCTTTTCCCCGAAGAACAAAAAAGACTACAAAATATGATCCGAAGACTTTAATGTAAGGGAGCAAATTTTAACACTTTCTCGACAAGCGACAATTTGACTCTTTCTCGACAAGCGACAATTGTTTATAATGTAAATATCTCAGATTAGATTATTTATTCCCCTTTAAAACAAAGAACACCATCCAAATGCTCAGAAAATAACCTTTTAAATAGGAGGTCAAATGGCGTCAAAACGAAACAATTATATATTTACTCACTCTTGGCTTTGGCCATTCTGAATTTCAATTCTAGATATCTTCCCAAGACTGACCGAGAGTGAGGGCAGTACGGGAAAATATCCAACCGAGGTCTTGCTGTATTGACCGAGCGATAGCGAGGTCAATACAGCAAGACCGAGGTTGGATATTTTCCCGTACTGCCCGAACGGTTGAGGTCAGTAAGTTTTTTATTATATGGCATTGTACGTTTGTAAAAAATGGAAAAAAGGTCACGCGAGGGCAAAGTACAAAGTCCGAAACATTTGCAAAAAAGAACAATTGTAAAAAATGTTCTCTTGGTTGGTAAAACTACTCCACAGCATAATACTGACATAGTTTGGATAGTATTTCAAGAAAAAAACGAGGTATTTCGTCATTTAATCAAAGACAAAGACAATTACAAATATGAAAACAATAAAATTAATGAACAGTATGGACAAGTACGTTTTTAGTCTGCTTCATCTCATAAATATGTCTCTTTTTTCGAACAAAAACAGAAATTTTCAGGAAAAAAATATAAATCTGTGGCTGATTTAGTTGTAGTTTTTATTTAGGATGGTGTCAAATTCCTCGTCTATCTGCAAATAAAATTTGCAGTTCTTCACAAAGTCAAAACACAGCTATATTCCTGACTGCTTTAATAGTTATAAACATTGTAAAATTTACCGTGTAATTTCGGCTTTCGCTAACAAAAACATATTGAGAAAGTTCTTTAACCACAGAAGGAGCTCCTTTTCTTTAGTTTAGGTTTATTTTTCTTCGTTTTGAATAGTTTGAACGACTTTTAGGCTCTTTTTGCCGTTTGAAACTCGGATCTCGTCGCAGGGCAATAAAAATTGCGTATTGCCCGTGGGCAATACGGGAAAATCCTGCCTCGTCAGCAGCCAATCAAATTGCACGATTCATCAAAACAAATGCTTGCCATATAATAAAAACATTTATTCATAATATTCGATAAAGGCATATTCGTTCGTTCTTGTGCTGCAGTGATTGGCATATAAGACAGCTAATGGTACTACCAATAGAATCTTACGTACTATTTTACGAATCTTTCGTCGTGCTAATGATATTAATGAGGCTATACGTTCGTTCTCGTGCTTCGGTGAAAGTTAACTAATAAGAAACGGGCTTTAACGACAGGACATAAATATCGCGCATTAAACCGTATCATTGCCATAATTCACAGCAATGGAGTGTTTGCATGGATGGCCAACGTCCACGGTTTGTGAAAAAAAAATTGGAAAATTTTGGCTTTGCAACAAAAATAACCCCAACAGTTGTGAATTCTTCTGCCCTGATCAAGACCGCTCGTTGTACAAATTCGAAACAGCTATAACAATGTGGAGAGCGAATGGACCAATTCATCCGGCGTGTGATACTCACCAAAGACTAGCAAGAATGAAAGTCGTCAAAGACGATAATAAACTGAACTTTTGAAAGCTGTTTTTTGTGTGTTGCAACCACGAAAGTGGGCTGGCAGTGGGGTGACAGACATGAGTTACCAAAACCAAATTGCGGTGACGGATTGAATGCTTGCATACAGAAAGTCAAAAAGGAAGGGGGAATCAAGGCCGCCTTTTCTTCTGTTACCCAAACGATCTAGAAAAGTCGTGCGGTCTTTTTAAATGAAAAATTGAGCTGGAACACCCGTTCAACCAAGTTCATTTTCCTCACGTTGAAAGAGTTGGTATATTGCAGAGCAATCCAGCGCTAGACACATACATGGTAGCTGAAACCATAGTTAATAGAATAGATGGTAGCATACATGGTAGCTGAAACCATAGTTAATAGAATAGATGGTTTGGAAACTCATTGCGCATAACAATTTAACTCATTATCTATGTTAGTCAAAGTTTATTCATAAATCTGGTCGTTCACCGTCACGTGCGTATTGTATTTCTGCCCAACTAACCAATAGCAATGTCTTAAGTAAGTTGCCTATCAATAACTCAAACAATAGGGTAAATTGGAAATTGCTATTGGTGGATTTGGAAAAAATACAATACACATGTCACGGTGAAGGACCAGATTTATGAATAAACGTTGCCCAACATAGATAATGAGTTATATTGTTATCCTAATGAGTTTCCAATCCATCTATTCTATTAACTATGCTGAAACTGGACTTGCCTTTACTAGCGCACGGGAAAATCCACATGCACGATGCCTACGCTGAATATATGGGGAATTGCCAATTTCCCCACTAACGAAGGCTATGGAGAAACTGTTACTGATAGACTATTAAGAGACTATAATTAAGCTATTAAAACGTTATTATATTCAGAGGTCACCGGGTTCACAAGGATTGCCACCAATTAAACTATAAACATCTTTCATGATTGGTCGACTAAAACAATGATCACTTTTGTTTTTATAATAAGTATAAGTTTACGCAGTTTATATTTTGTTTCATATGTTTACGCAGTGCGTAATTATACTGAATTAATTTTATAACTGAATATTTGAATTTCTAGGTGCGAACAGGTCGTTTGAAATACACATACGGTGTAATTACTACAGATATTAATACAAATATACCAGTTCGTAAAATGCGACTCTGAGCAAGAAGTTAAACTTAACACTTGTCTTGCGATGATGAGAGAAACAATTTCTATGCTTACCCATCTTTGTCCTTTGCAAGATACCAGCCTTCCTCTGCATGTCCAAGAATTGTAAATTCGTCTCCCTGGTAAACAAGGATAATCAAAAGCAAACTATGAATTACGCTAAAAATCGACCCGAAAAAGTTCCAACTAAACCATATAATTTGATCGAAATTTGTTCAGATGTTTTCGTGACTCAAGTTACTGAAAAGGCGAATTGACTAACCTGAGTAACTTCCTATAGTAGTCCGTGTGTTGTGACCTCGAAAGTTGCCTAGAAAAGATTTTCATTAAGGATGTCTTTGGTCTGGGACATTCTTGCGGAACTAACACTTTCAAGCACGCTGAGTTCAAATCCGAAAAGTTCCCGCTCCGTAGACCCGCAGTTTTCCCACAAACTGCTATTTTATCTTCACTACTTTAACAGCAAATTTTTTCATTGTTCAACGACACGGATAGATGACGATACACGATTATATCACTGAAAACGACCAATTTCTATTAACCTGTCTTCCTTTAACAAAAGGCCGGTTTTGCTCGAATCATTCTGAGTTATGCATGCAATCCTATGCGTCTTGAACGTAAAACAACATATCGGGTCTACAACTTTGAGAAGGTACAGATAATTCTTTCTAAAATCCTTAGATTCTATAAAATCACAAGGACGTTAATGTTAAATATTTGGGCTATGTCTCTGGGCTGAGAAATAATTCCTTACATGCGATACAAATGTTTTATACAACGATGTGAAACGGTATGTAATGGATCAGCATTTAAATTTCCAACACAGTTTCCAAGACGTAATTCAAGAGATAACTTATCATTGCTTTTGAACTCTTATACATCAGTTGGTGTTACGCTGTGCGATAAGCGAATATTATTGGAAAGAGGGCTTCGATATACGTTCAAATCACCGAATATTTTAAACAGCTCATGAACACATTTATCCAATTCGTCGTAAGTTTACAGAGCATATTTTGTACTTTGGGACTGACCTTTCTCTTTCATGTGAACATTTATTCTTATAGTTTAAAGCTATATAAGATTGATCCTGTCGTAAGTGATCTACCAGCAACCAATCGACAATATTTCATCTTAGCGTTGTCTTTGCTGTTACATTGGCTTCGCGTTACTTTTGTTTTAAACACCTTGATCGCGGTAAAAGAGTTATTTTTCAGGCTAGTGACATAGCCAAAAGACTTCGCATTAATGTCCTTGTCATTTTATAAAGATATCTCTAGAATTGAGGATTTTGGAAAGCGTTATCTGTACCTTCTCAAAGTTGAAGATAAGATATGCCGTTTACGTCCAACACGCATACGATTACATAACTCAAAATGATTCTAGCGAAACCGGTCTTTTGTTAAAAGGAAGACTGGTTAATAAAAATTGGTCCTTTTGAGTGAAATAATCGTGTATCGCCATCGATCCGTGTCGTTGAACAATGAAAAATTTGTCGTGAAATTATTGAAGATAAAACAGCATTTTGTGAGAAAACTGCGGGTTACGGACCGGGATCTTTTCGGATTTCAACTCAGCGTGCTTGTACTGTAAGTGTTAGTTCCCATAAAAATATTTCAGATCTAAGACATGGTTAATGAAAAAGAACGATATCGGGTCACAACACACGGACTATAGTATATGGACTCATGCACGGCAATCATGTAAAGGCCGTTTCCATTAACGTCCGCTTTACCCGCGCGGGCGAAGCGTTCATTGTTTTTGACGCCCATCACGCCCGCGTGAGCAGACTTTCAAAGCCCGCTCCGCCCGTGCGGGCAAAGCGATTGTAATGGAAACCGGCCTTAAAACAATTGGCACGAATACGAGTTCGTGTGCATCCCGCACGCTCACATGAGTGCAGAAATTTAAGCACAAAATGAAAATAAATAACGTAAAAAATTTAGTAGCAATCACACTGTTTCAGACATGAAAATTCGAGTCATCCCACTTCTGGAAGCAGCAAAAAACATGAAATGCGCCCCATTTCCACTGGTATTAATGAACATTTTGCTGTCAGAAGCAGACATTGACAGAACTGTTAGTCAAAATCGCATATTTTCACCTCTGTGCCTAATTAAAACAATGCATAACAAAAGAAAAAGCAATTAATCACGAACGTGACGTAGCTTAGCTAAGATTTATTCATACTTATGAATATGTGTGCAGTTTAATGAAATGAAATTCATCAACTTAAGTCCTAAAGGGGATTCATTTTCAATGGTTTTAGACCCAACTCACAACGGTGAAAATATGCGATTCTGACTAACATTTTTTATCGGATTCGTATATGCACATTTTTTATCCATTAGGCATGAAGAAGATATCATTCAACAGCTAAAAGCATGATCTTTCCGAATGTGAAAAATTCTCGTTCATATGCATAGTAATTCAGATACAATAGCGCACTGACGTTCGATTACCTTTTTTTTATACACCCTGTATATACGTCGTATTCTCACGAAAAGAATTAAATCCGAGGCAATCTTAACATAAGACAAATCATTTGCATTTCATTTTCCAGTTTCGCGTTGATGGAAGACATCGAGTTTATTATATATTTGCTAAAGTCATCAATTGGCATGAACCATCATCATCACATCACATCACATCACGCAGTGAAGTAGCAAACATAATTTATCAATATGAAGATTACAGCTTCCACAACCTTATATCATAATTTAAATAAACTACTGTATACATATTTAATAATACAACACAAACATATACAGACAGCATAATAAATGCAAATAGCACGCACCTTCTCAAAACTGAGTTTGTCACTAGCACTTTCTATTGCTCTAAAACTATACAAAGCCACAACGTTTGTTCCCTAGAAATATATACAAAAAGTTAATATTTAACGTGCAAACATCTCGTAGAATTAATTAAAATATTGCATTGCGTGAGCTGCTGCTGTGGGTAGATTCGCCACTGGAAAAATACATCATGAAACCCGAAATATCGTTAATCAGACGAGTAGTCAAACAGTTTATTTGTTAATAATGCTTCGTAACAAAAAATCAGGGGCAAAAGATTGCTGAAAATGGGAAAACCTAAGGCAAGCTTGTTTTAAATAGTACCCGTTTTTGTTATTCTGGATTATTAAAAGTAATTAAATAAACAGGAGATTAAAGTTATTTTCATGCGAGAATTGGATAATTTGAAAACATTTCATTTTTAACTCAAGAAGTTTATCCAAATAAGGCAGTTTAGCTTTATAGGCATTTTAAAAGGTTTCGCGAAGCGTTTGGAGTTGTTTGTATACTTATTTATTTATTGATTTAATTAACTTCGCCAATAATGCAAACACATGAACACATAAAAAATAACACAAAGAAAGGCAGGGACACAACAATAGTTTAACAACCAATAAATGTAAGCCTTATAGCGAGAAGTTTAATTTATGCATTTGAGTTTTTATGCAATCGCCCCCAGAAAATACACAGAAACAAATACGGGGGGTGTTAATTATTACCCCAGATTCAGTACGGACATGTTTGACATGCTGTTTAGAAGATGCAGGGAATTACCTCTTTAATGGCATGTTTCATCAGATCACCAACAAACCAACTGAAAATACAAAATAAGCATGTCAAGGGCAACGCGCGTACAGCATATTCAGACAACACTGCATATTTGTACAATATTAAAACCGGAAACTTACAGTTCGCTTCCTGAGCCAATTTTTTTACGCACATAATTTGCTGGAATAATACCTTTCTCGCTATAAAAGTACAATGTATAGTTCTTTAAATTTCGATCGTTTTGAGATAAATGTTCTAATAAGCATTAATTTAAAACATGATCCTTTTGAAAACACATGATGTTCGTTTGACCGGTTATGCCATGGTTCTCCGGCTCACAAAGGTCGCCAACAACCTAATACATGAACATGTTTCATGATTGGTCGATTAAAACAATGGAGCACAATGAAACTAAAGAGAAAAGTCAAATAAACGATCGAGTCCCAAGCACTGATTACTTTGTTAAGCAGGCCAATCTCAAAACATGTTCATTTTTGTTTCGTGATCACGATGTGCATATACTAATTTATTTTTAGAACAGAAAATTTGAATTTGTGCCTGGGAACAGGTTGTTTAGTTAGAACACTTACACGGTCCATTTATTACAAATATTAATTCAAATATATTAGTTTTGTAAAATTCGTAAAAAGCGCGCAGAACAAGAAGTCTGAACTTTACGCTTCTCTTGCAATGATTAGAGTAACCAATTTCACTGCTTACCCATATTTGTCCTTTGCAATATACCAATTCTCATCCATACTTCCAAAAATTGTAAGTTTGTCTCCCTGGTAAACAGAGATAATGAAAAGGTGACCCTCAATAACATTAAAAAATATTCGGAAGAAAATTGCAACTAAACTAAAATTTGATCGGAATTTTTAAAAATTTGGTCAGAGGTAGATAGATAGATTGTCCGGAAAATATAAGTACATGAATAATGCTCTTGCCAAAGTCAATTTTGCTCTAATCTTCGAATGAACAAGGTTTGCCAGACATTCGTCTGACAGCCTGTTGCAACACATTTTAAAAGTAGTAAACACAATGTTTCAGATATGAAAATTCGAGCCCTCTGTCCCATTTCTGGAAGTAATGATAGCTGCAAAAGACATGAAATGTGCCTAATTTCCAATGGTATTAATGAATGTTTACCTATGTTTAGCACTTTCTTTAACACCTTCTTTCTAACCATGCACGCACTGGGACCTATTTTGTCTATTTAATTACGGCTCTCAGCCTCCTTTGGATTAAGATGTGTTATCTAGTCTGTTGTACTGTAACCAGGAACGTCGTGAAGACATCAACATTGGAGGGATGTCGTCATGTTTTGACCAACTTTTCCTAGAATTTTGACCAAGTAGTAGAAGTGTTTCCCGAAAATGTTGTCGACGGGGAGGGGGGTTTCTCAAAACCTTTTCCGGACTAACATAAGCAAACCTTCAAATATTTTTCGACCAAAATAAGCAAGGCTTGCAATTGTTTCCACGCATACATGACCAAAGCTTAGAAATTGTTAAAATTGCGAACGATTTCATAACTTTGACCATCTTTTATCTCAAACTTTGACCAAATTTTGCCAACTTTGACCTTCAATTTTAAGCAAATATTAGTTCCATTTTGACCAACTTTGATCGTTTTGAATTATTGGGGGGGTGTTACACTCCCCCCCCCCTAACCCCCCTGTTGCGACGTCCCTGACTGTAACAGTGCAATCCTACATTCTTTGTGGTATGCTCAGTTCCAGTATTTAATTGACCTTTCCCCTTATAGCGATTGACCGCAATGTATGGCGGTAGAAGGCTGTACGTTGGTAACGAAGTGGCGGCTGTGGTAGCGAACGTTTTTGTTCTGCATGAATATGAAATGGCAGATTTTTACAGTTGTTTGCATTCATCAATACGTTGTATCTACCGGAAAACAAGTAGGCAACTTTTGATTACATGTAGGTTTGATTTTGTGCAGCCCGATTAGAAATTGCGTGTGCACAGACTGTGCACAGACTGTCTGATTGGCTGCACTTAAATATTAACGAACGTTGGAATTTGATATCGAAATAACATATTCATGACAATCTTGTGTGTGTTGGTGTTATGTACTCAGGTGAATATGATGTTTGTGATGTGACTCTGAGTGTGCATCCACACTGGGGAAGCTGAAAAGTGAGCTTGGGTCAGAGTCACATCACAAACATTTTCATGACACATGATGTTCATTGTAAGTTTTATTTTTCTCTCTGTTTTGAACTATAAAATATTCGATGCAAAAAAGTTTCTGATGCATTGCAGATTGATATAATATGCATTTGAGTAAATGAAATCCAACAAGGAGTTGGAAATAACGACAAGCAATGCCACGAATTTTCACAGACTCTTTTGCAGCATAATACAGTCTGCACACAAGATAGATCTGAAATTGCACATGAAAATGCAACCTCGTTCCCAGACTCTTCCCTCTTTAGGAGGAAAGACTCAGGCAATAGCTGGTCACGTGGCTCCCAGATTCTCGGTGCTAAATTCTTTGTGCTAAATTGAAATTGTACTTAGGGAGGGGTGGTAGAGGAGTGCGCTTGTTTCGATTGGAAAATTACTACTGATGTGTTATAGTTTGGGAAATAAAATTTAAATTTGCAACAAGAAATCCTGGAATATTTTGTATTTATTATCACACGCATTCCTCTATATCATTGAGTGTTGGGTTACATAAGTCAAGCGAGAAGTTGGATTAGATATTAGTGGACATCAATGCTTGCCAACGAAAGCTCGCTTCGCTAAAGTTCGCTGTAAAAAAGTTCTGTACCGAACATTCTTCCCAAAGTTTAATTTCTATTGTCAGTATTGAAGTGTATCCTGTCCGATACGTTATAAACTCAACGGATTTACCTTATGTAGAGATGTGGATTTGCTGTAAAATAGCAAGATTTTGTGATCCCGCCAACTGTGTGTAAATTCTAAACATGCTCTCCCAACTGTGAAAGCCCGTCAAATATTGTGATATATATACCGTTTTGGCGTCGCTGAGACTCTATATATGATCAAGAATTATGTCGAGGTATAGCTCTCTGTTATCAAACATATGTTAATATATAATAACCTTAAGAATTCATGCGATTTCATTGGTCGAGAGCCATGATCTATTAGAGGACAGACGCACGGAATTACGTCATTAGTTTTTAAAATGTCGAAAATATTCGAAAATTCCACTGAATTTATACAAATTGAATGAATTCATTCAACTAAATCTATAAACATCAATAAATACCTTCTATATATGTGCATAAATCACTCACAAAAGCTAGCAACTCGGCAAATCTCAATTCAGTTATTCAGCTGCGTCTTCAAATTCAATTCGGTATTCGAAAACAAAACTGAATATTTGCGAAGAAAACAAGGAATTTATGTAATGTGATTTATCAAAGTAAAATCTACTTTATCTAAAGTAGTTTAATAACCAGGAAACTAGAATTATTAGGAAGGTGTTAAGCCGTTAAGGGAATTTACTAATACTATAAGCTTGGCACCGCCATATCTAAAATAGAGCATGCATATTGGCACGCAATGTGGGTGAGAGAAGTGGTGCAAACCTTATATAATGGACAGCTACACTGCCAATCGTCAGTATCGACTACAACTGCTGAGAAAGACATCATTCAAAGTTGACCAAGTATACTAGGTAAGACCACTTCCTATACTTTTAATTATCTAAGTTATCTACTTTATATTCTATACATGGCGCCACCCAAAGTTTTAGTTTTGGGTCATTCATTTGTACGTCGACTTAGGTCGGACCTGCATGTTCAGCACGACGCACGAATTGAATGTCCCCTACATTGAAACTTAACGGGACAGCTCAAGTTTACATGCATGGTATTGGTGGTCGCACAGTCAGAAAAGTGCGGAATCAAGATCTTGGGGTATTAGCACGCCTATCCCCAGATATCGTCATCCTGGAGATTGGCACAAATGATTTGCCCCTTTTGCCACACGAGGTGGTGGGTTCTGAAATTGAGGAATTGGTTTCTCTGTTACGGCAAACGTATCACGTCAAAGTTGTGTGTGTTTGCTTGTTAACTCCGCGCAATCGTAATCCAGTTTTTAACGCAAAACGAGTTATTGTCAATCAATATTTAAACGTTGTGTTAGAACATATGCCGAACGTTTTTACTTGGCTACATCGGGGTTTTGCGCGGCCATCGGTAACACCGTTTCTTCGAGATGGGGTTCATTTTAACAAAATGGGTCAATACGCCTTGTATAGAAGTTATAGGGGCGCCATTCTTAAATCTCTCCGCATGTTGTAGTTTTGACAATCATACATAATGTATATTATTATGAAGAATTTTCTTTACGTGTGAATTTCTCCTTCTTGGCAGTTGTAATAGGTTACATTATACTAGGATTATGCTAGCTTTATACTAGGTTTCTTTATAAGATTAGACGATGTTACAGGATTGTTTTCCCCAGCGTATTTTATCTTACGCCAGGGTTTCTTAGGTTTTTACCACTACTGTGGTTTGTGTATTTTCGCATTCAACCTCTAACTTTTTTGTTGGTGATAATGTATGAGTGGTGCAGCAATCATACGATCTTCCATGCTCATACTGCCGACGTTATTATAAGGAATACTTCATTCTCGTAGATTTATGAGTTATATCTGTTTGTAACCTATATATGCGTTTTCGCGCGCGTGCGTTTTTATCCTTTTAATATCAAAACGTTATGTGCAGTACATCACTCTTTGCAATATTGATAACTTTTGCTGAGGATAATACTGCCTTTTCAAGTTTTGTTTTCTAGAATGCCTTATATCCGCCGACCAAAACGTGTTGCTTCTACTCCAACTGCTTCTCGGGCAAACCAACAGCGTCAAGCAGCTGCACCCCGCCGCGGTTTACGTTCACGAGCAACTCGTGGTGAGGCTAGTGGACCAGTCAGTGTTCTTGGACATCCAACCTCCGCAGCGCCTGTCGTGCCAACGCCTGCACCAACAACGATCCCATCGCCGCTGCCGGGTGATCTGGTCACAACATTGGTTTCGTCGGTAACGGCCGCAGTTACACAACAGCTTTCAGCGCTCCTACTGTCCCCTTCGACTGCTCTTCCAGGGATTTCTCCGCCATCGTCTTCGACGTATCCTACGGTAGAGTCTTCGTCTTCTGCCCACGCAGTAGCTTTGGTTCAGGGCGCACTTGGCGAAGCCCACTCCAACATATCAGGTCAGGCACGTCCTTTCACTATACCGGAACAGTTGCTACCCAATCAGTCTTTTAATTCCGCTAGCTTGCCTCACGATGCGCGAGTTCCCGACAAAATTAAGGAAAAAATATGGAGGGAAGAGTTTGTTGATTTTGGCGTTTTACTGAGCAATCCTGACCCAACCGCACGTTACAAGATCAACGTGCGGCCTTCGGACGCTGGCCGGCCTGCCTCGCTTGTTTTAGAGCCGACAGCAAAATCCGGCAAACAAATAAAAAATATCAATGATTGGCTTCGCGCTTTTCACATTTTTGTATCTATTTACACCCAACGATACACACATGAGACCCCCGCGCTTATGAATTATTGTCAACTAGTCCAAGATTTGGCCGCGCGCGACCATAATTGGTTTTATTATGACGAAAATTTTCGTTTTTTTGCGCCAAACGCAGGCCTCACAGGTTCCATGGGCGACCGTTCATTGGGAATTGTGGTTACGTTCGCAAAATTCTTCGCCGCGTAGATTAAGTAACGTGCCAACCGCGCAAAACGCTTCGCGAAAACCTCCGATTTTGTCTGTACCGAGGGGTTTCTGCTATACATTTCACCGCGGAGCCTACTGCTCGGGATGCGATTTCAAGCACGTTTGTTTTAAGTGTAACGGAGCACATCGTTCCGTTAACAGTAATTTTCGCCGTTCAGCCAGAGAATCTCCCAATGAACGATCGCCCTAGCCTGTTTCGCCCTCCGTTGCCAACACCGGTAAAAGTGTCTAATCTAAAAATTTTATTAGATGGCTATGAGCCGCATCTTGTTGATAATTTAATGTTTGGTTTTTCAATTGGTTTCCGTATTAATTTTCAAGGGGCTGAACGATCATTTGAAGTCCGCAATTTGCGATCAGCTTTGGACAATCCTAAGGCAGTCGATTCAAAATTAAACAAGGAATTAGAGGCAGGTCGGCTTGCTGGTCCCTTTATTTCGCCGCCATTCCCAGTCCCTGTATTTTCGTGTGTCACCATCTTTTAGGCATAAAATGGCGCGAATTTTATTACTACGACCGTGCTATGCCCATGGGCTGCTCGAGCTCGTGTCGCACTTTTGAAACCTTCAGTACGGCGGTTGGATGGATTGCTCGGGAAAAGCTGCTTATCGACAAACTACTTCATTTACTTGATGATTTTCTGATTATATCATCTACTTATTTTGTATGTAAAGCACATTTGGATTTATTTATTATTCTCTGCGATTTTTTGGGCATTCCCATTGCACCAGACAAAACATTTGGCCCATCGACCACTCTCACATTCGCTGGTATTGAGTTGGATTCACTTCGATTATCAACTTGATCAGCTAAGGAAATCATATAGCTTGCCCGGAAAAAAAGATGCAAAGTGTTGTCAGACTAGTTCAGACGAAAACGCTAGACTAAGACAAGAAAATGCTCAGCTTAAGGAGGAAAATAACACCCTGAAGGAGAAATTTAACAATTACTCCCTCGATTACTCCTGTACTATATCGGACTTAAAAACCAAAATAGAAAATATTGAAAACGAAAAACTGAGTTTGATCACGGCTATAAAGCTGCTACAAGATGACAATAATTCTAGATCAGCGAATAATAAACAGTCAACATGTAGTACTTGGCAGGTTCACTCTAAACCAAGTTCACGCAAAATTCCTGCTACTCACGTACAAAACAAACCGTTTACCCCCACTGTGATAAATAATCAACCACGGGAAGTAACAACGTAAGAAAATAGATTCGAACTATTATCGCATACTATAGATAACGACGAAAAATTCAACACCGTTGAAAGTTCAAATGAGTCTAACACTCCTTCGGTAATAAAGCAAAATTGCCCAAGGGAGGATCTTAGTAAACGTAGCAATCAACAAAGGGGTAATCAATCAACAAAACCCAACAAGGATAAAGCAAAGTTTAAGGATAGAAATCGCCCAGATAATAACACAGGTGAAAAGTCTGGTAAACTCGCATTTATTGCAGGGGACTCTATTCTGCAACATGTGCATGGCTGGGAATTGTCCAGCGACGAACAACGTGTGACAGTAAAAGCCTTCTCAGGAAGTAGAGTAGAAGACATGCAGGACTATATAAAACCCCTGATACGCAAAAAGCCTGACACAATGATATTGCACGTTGGTACTAATGACATTAAAGACGACACCAAGTCAGCAGAGGTAGTTGCAGCGGGAATATTAAATTTAGGTAATCAAATTAAGGATAATTTACCACGCACTACAGTATGCATATCAAGCATAAAGCTGTAAATGATATTCTTGGGCGTGTTTGCGGCTTAAATAATTGGACTTATATAGACAATAGTAATATAGACTATACTTGCTTGAATAGACGTGGGCTACACCTAAACAAAAAGGGTAGCAGTATTATTAGTAAAAATTATAATAACTATTTCAATCATATTAATTGAAACACAGCCCGGCCAGGTGTTGATAAATGTGCATCATCAAACCCAAACGTTCCAAACTTTAAAGGTTTCAAAATGAGTATGCTAAATATAGCCAGTTTACCTAAGCATATTAATGAAATAAGAATATTACTGGCCGATCAATGTCTCGATATACTTGCTTTGAATGAGACAAGATTGGATGAAAATATTAGTAACCAGGATATGCATATAGATAACTATGATTTAATTAGGTTTGATCGTTCTAGAAAAGGGGGAGGCGTCTGTATATATGCTAAAAATTCTCTTAACTTTTCCGAACGAAAAGACTTAACTAGAGATAATCTTGAGGCTGTTTTTATCGAAATTCATAAACCTTCTAGTGCATCCTTTATTGTTGGAACTATATACAGACCTCCAAGTGCTTCGGTTGACTCATTTGTTGCAATTGAAAAATTAGTGCAATTAATAGATGACGAGAATAAGGAATTCTATTTACTTGGCGATTTAAATGCCAACATGCTTGACATTTCGAATAATGCCACAAAAGAACTAGTTTCAATAATGGAACAATATAATTAACTCAAACAATTAGTGCACCCACTCGTGAGACCACGACTTCATCCTCTTTGTTAGATGTTTGTCTCACTTCTACTCCAGAAAAGTTAATTACATCTAGGGTAGTGCCGATTACAATTAGTGACCATTATATGATCGTCATTGTTCGTAAAATAAATACTTACTGTAAACAAAAACGCCACAAGAAAGTTGAATTTCGAAATTTAAAAAATTTTAATGTCGATAATTTCCAAGCCGACCTGTATAGTCAGGATTGGGAATTATTAGATAATCAAGCATGCGTTGATAAGATGTGGGATATATGGAAAACACTCTTTATGACAGTGCTCGACAAACATGCTCCAAATAAAGAGAAAAGAGTGAAAGATAAACCCAGTGTCCCTTGGCTAACCACTACAATTAAAAAACAAATTAGAGAACGAGATCGTCTAAAAATTCTTGCAATAAAATACAAATCGGAAAATTACTGGGATGCTTATAAATCGTCTAGAAATCGCATAACAGATGCTTTGCGAGAAGCTAAAACAGCTTATTATAAAGTACAATTTGATAAAGTAAAACATGATCCAAAACAAGCTTGGAAAACTGTTAATAAAATCCTAAATCGAAAGCAAAAATGTCCAGATATAAACTCTGTCAAAACTCAGAATGGAGAGATTACCGATCCAAATGAGTTAGCGGAAAGCTTCAATGATTATTTTACTAATATTGGCCCAGATATTGCAAAAACGATCGATAAAGGTGACAGAAATTTCACGGATTACATAACTAGAGTAACTATAGTAATTTTAAGTTCCAAGCTGTATCTGAATCGAAAGTTCATAGACTTCTTTTGTCTTTAAATCCCGGTAAATCTACCGGTATTGACAAAATTCCAGCTAAAATTATTCGTATTGCTTCCCCAGTAATTGCAAATTCCTTGGCAAAAATTTTTAATAGGGCAATCACCAGTGAATCCGTTCCATCTGAATGGAAAGCAGCGAGAGTTACACCTTTACATAAAAAAGGCCCTCGAAACCTGTTAAATAATTATCGCCCTATATCCATTCTTCCTGTTGTAAGTAAACTTTTCGAAAAAGTATTATACGAACAGTTACACGATTATCTTGTTACAAATAACTTCGTTCGGTTTTAGACGTAGTCACTCAACAGCATCCGCCCTTTTAGATAGCACAAATGAATGGTTTGTTAATATGGATCGAGGCTTTTTTAATATTGCAGTCTTTCTCGACTTGCAAAAAGCATTCGACACTATTAACCACGTTGTATTATTGAAAAAACTTGATTTTTATGGTTTAGAAACACCAGCTTTAAACCTCCTAAAATCGTATCTAGAAAACAGAACTCAAATGTGCTCTGTTAATGGCACACTTTCTCGTAAAAAATTAATTACATGTGGAGTCCCTCAATGCTCAATTCTTGGGCCCCTCCTATTTTTGGTTTATATTAATGATTTGCCAAACAGTTTGGAGTATTCGTCAACAAGAATGTTTGCCGATGATACGACATTAACTGCATCTGGTAAATCAATTGCTGATGTAGAAATGGCCATTAATTATGATCTGGCTAACGTAAAGCGGTGGCTACACTGCAAAAAATTATGTGTAAATTTACTCAAAAATATCGGTAATATTTGCATCCACAGCAACACATTTATATGTGTAAATTTACTCAAAAATATCGGTAAATTTACACATTGGTTGTGTAAACATACACAAAAATATCGGTAAATTTACACAACTAAAATGCATCCACAGCAACACATAATTTTGTGTAAAATTGCACTTTACACATTGGTTGTGTAAATGCTACACAAAAATAACGGTAAATTGCTGCAACTGAAATGCATCTAGAACTACACTTCTTTTTGTGTAAAATTATTTGTAAATTCTACACATCTTGTAGAAATCTCATCCATTCTACACATCTCAAAAATATAATTATTAAACAGCTAACATATTAAAATGAAACAGTCACAAAAAATGGTTTAAAAATAATATATTCACTTAATAGTTAAACACATCACACATGTTCACCAAAGTTAAATCTTGTCAATTAGTATAATGTTGAACCTTGCTACATATTCAAAATATACCATTATCAAAGGAATTGGTCTTGCATTCCCTGATTTCAAGTTCAAGTCACTTCAAAACTTAGTTATATTAAACATTAAGATAAACATGAAAAGTTATATTATTATAACTATATAGCATACTGTATATTGTCTATATATGCTCATTTTCATTTTACCATAAATTGTTGTCCCTTTGTAACTCTTAGAAATTTGCCTGAAGTAATGTTTTCACTGCACATTACAGCACTGTTGAATTCCCACGCAGACCTGCAAAACAAAATGAACAGATTTTTTTAGAATAAAGCCAGGGGCATTAATTAGTGGGCTAACCAAACAATCCACCTATGACCCTTGTAAACTTGTTACAGTAACTTAAGGAGGGCGCAACAATTTGTGGGGTGTTAACTGGATATTACACTAGGCCGGACACCGGCTACAAATAATGGTAGTAAGGTAATAATGGGAGGGGGTCTGTGGGTGATAAATACCAAATATTGAACATTTTTTAGAGCCACCCCAATCGCAAGACCTTTATTTTCAAGACTCCCCACCTTCATCTAGAAAACTTAGGACCCACCCCTCTCCAACATTTAGTTTGTTACATTTTTTGTTGTAAATAAGTAATGGGACAAGTACTGGGGACCAATATTCAAAATAGTTGTTATTTATTCCTACTGTATTCCTATGGTGAACTGCATATGCGAAAGGTTTTATTATATTTTGACAATGAATAAGAAAGTATTAAAAAATGTACTGTCACATATTTTTCAGTTTGAGGCCGCCCCCAATTCAGGCAAAAATAGTTGAAGACGCCCCCCTTTTCTAACCCCCCCACCCTCCCATTGTTAATGACCGGTCCCTAAGCTGCATTTTGCCACAACTTTATTGTTTTACTCCATCTAATGTCAGATGATTTTACTTGTCAGTGCTGTCATTTGTCAGTGCAGCACTCCTCTCACATACAACTGAGGTAAAATCATAACCATACATGAATGTATGAACGTTTTCTGGAATGAGCCAATAGCATATTAATTAAATCAGAAATACCAACAAGCATTACCCTTACATTTTAGAAAGCATCTAAAGGATTTTGCTGCTGAAAAATTCCTTATCACCTTGTAAACTCCATCTGATCCTACATAATGAATGATTACACATAAATTAGTTATTTGTTTTCGTAGGAAAAATTTGATTCACTATGGTTCCACCCATAGACCAAGTGATTCCTGGCTAGTACATGCTAACCCAGAAATCATGGTCCCACAGGCAAAATTTCAAATTCTAACCCATTAAGTTGCATTGCAGTAATTGCACCCTAAATACAATAAATTGTACTCCTGTCTAATGCCAGACAATTTTATTTGTGAGTGGGAGAGTGCTGGGGCCGGTTGTACGAAGGCCGGATAGCGCTATCCACCGGATACTGATTTTTCAACATTTGAAAAAATGCTTGAAAAACTGTGAACCTACAGATATAAAGGACATAAGAAGTATAAAAAAACATTTTGCTTGTATAAATACTAAACTTTAATACCAGTTACACCAATCAACGACTGATTTAACAAAACTTGAGAAAATCATTATCCGGTGGATAGCACTACCCAGGCCCCTGGTGGTTAATGGGTTAATCTGGCCATGTGTCAGTCTAGTGACACATTAAATTGCTTTGTGCCTTATGTGCAATACTTCCTTATTTTATTAATGTCTTTAACCCATTAAGTGCTAGCACTCTCCCCTTGACGAGTAAAATTGTTTGGCGTTAGACAGAGTAAAATAATAAAGTGGGGCGCATCAGGGCGCAATGCGACTCAGTGGGTTAATGCCAGATTATTGTACTCTGTCTAACGCGAGACAATTTTACTCGTAAAGACTCAAGTGGAGAGTGCTGGTGCCTAATGTGTTAATGGTCATTTATAAGATAGATCATAATTCAATCTAGCTTTGGATGCATGCACATTGCCTTTTTATCACATTTCTGGTAGACAATGTTGAATGAACAAAATCCACTATTCATAATTGATACTTTTGAGTGCAGAATGGAAGGATTTACCTTGGGGCGAGTTCTTGCCACTGTCGTCTGGTGCTTCCCACCGACTTCTACTCATTCTAATGGTAATCATCTAAGTCAAGGTTCTGGGATAAAATCTACCTAGTATGTACATATAAATGAAAATTGAAAATCCATTCTCTATTATCACACTCACCATGTAGTAATTTTAAGCCGCTTTCCCTTGTCTGTAAGTTGGCTGTAATAGGTATGCTGGCAATGAGAATACAAGATGTCAGCACTTGTAAAAAAATACTAGTTTTATGCAGTTGTAAGATTGCTTTTATAGAGTCTGCAGTATCTATCCAATCATTTAGATCCATTTAATTATAAATTGCTTTTAAATATGATCCCGGCTAGACATTTGGCATGATCCCGCTTGCAATATAAACTAACTATATAGAGTGTTTACAGTAAAATGAATGATTCTACCTTTATCTGGCCCAGGCTGGATCCCATTATTGGGTCATTCCAGAAAAGATCCATACTCCCCCCACAGAGGAAATTTCTGCCATCCGGAGGGGGAGGGGAGAAAAAATTGTTTCTGATAATAGTAAATGTATTAGGACATCCAAAGGGGGTAGGGGGGTTAACTTCCTATTTCCTCCGTGGGGGTGGTATGGATGTTTTCTGGAATAACCCATTTGTTGCCGAGATCCCAGTCTGCCAAGACGAGAAATTCTAATACAAGCACTCTATCATCCCTGCCAGGCGGGGTGTATTCCATCTATATATAAAACACATCATCCTGTTTTGCCTAGCCAAGTTTCTCAGCAAGGCTGGATTAAAACCTCCTGTTCAGCCATGCCATAATTTGTCACATAAACAGGCACACACAGTATATAAACTCTATAGAAGGCTTTATTTTACTTGTCGAGGGGAGAGAGCTGCCACTTAATGGCTTGAAAGACCTTGGAAATCCAGGGAAGGGGGATTAAAAAAACAGAATGCACAATTAAATACAAAATTCAATCCATGTCAATATAATTTAATGCTGGTACATGCTGCTATTAAAACCAAGAAATAGCACTGAACTGATAATCTTAATCAATTCTATATATTGTATTGGGTTAACAATTTGTTGATTCACATATAGATAACATTGTGACTTCCTCATGTTGAATACTCTCAAATAATTTTTATGTTTTGGCTTTTATTAATAGGGATGTTCACATATTGTTTTATACTATGTCTATGTGACTTTAAATGTGCTTTTGCCAAACAAGTGCAACCCAGTATTTACTGTGTGTTTATTCAAAATTTGAATTGTTGGTTTTAACTAGTATTTGATGGCATTGAAATGAAATAATTTCAATATGAAACATACGAATTCTCGCGCGGGCAAATTCAAATTTTAGCAGCCACAACAGCAACAAGATAAATGAGATAATAGGGTCGATGAACGTTATAGTTCTATGATATAAACAGTAATATTTCATACCTGAGATCAAATAAGCCCCTGGCAGGATTCGGAGTCACTTATCCAATAAAAAATATGAGGAAAACCACGCTTTTCCTCGTAGTTTTCTTCAGCGAAATATACTCAAACGAAAAAGTAAAAAATTTGCAAATCACACCTGACATTTGATACACGACATACCACAACTCATTGCGCGCGTG